TGTTCCAATTCAGACGACCCAGTCTATACTTGTATATTGTGCGCATCACATAGTAAATCTAGGCTAATAACCAGAATAAGAACACATAATGTTTTCAAAAATTGATATCATGGTTAGTAGAGGCCGATCTTTGATCGGGCAAGCGCGGGTGCTCACGAAGTAACCTTCCCCAATCGTACCCAAGTTCCCGAGCTGAGGCAACTTTGGTGATGACGGACACGTGGCCTTAGGCAAACCAGTCAGGGTTTCCTAAATTTCTCCAAAATAAAATATTTAGGTGGCAACTCTGTATCTGGCAAAACAGTCCATGTTTGGCACATCTTTCAAAAATCTGTTTTCTCAAAACGATTTGTCGGATTTGGACTCTTTAGTTCAGATTTAGAACCCTGACAATTTTAGAGTCCTGAGCTGTAGTGACCCCAATATCAAACGGAACGGGGGGGGACTCGTTCCCCTCCCTGGGGCGTTCGAGGGACGTCTACAACAACTTGATTACATGATAGGAAATACAAATTTGGAAGACAATGGAGTAGGTAATATTTCAATTATTACAGCTCCTTTTTGGGGGTTTCTCCTTTTATTGTTGATGTTTTTATTAAATAGCTCCTTCTAAGCCTTCTTTGTACTTGTGGTTGCTTCATCCACTAAATGAAGGAACAAAAGGAGTGGGAACTAAGCACAACCCATTTCTCTTCCTGACAATAGCCCCATGCATGCACCTCACACTACAGAAAAAAGGGTTATGGTGGCATTTTTTTAACGACATTTTTTTGAACGTCACTATTATTAACATTTAACGGCGTTTTATAAACGCCGCATATTCTTTTAACCAAAATGACACCGTTTTATAATAGGAAAAATGCCTCCGAATGTGGTATACCACACGCGCCTGTTCAATCCTTATTTTGTATCTGGCCTTCTCTCAACCCATACGCATACATCATTTTGAATCTGAGCCCTCTCTCTCTCTCTCTCTCTCTCTTTCTCTCAACCCTCTCTAAGCTCCATCGAAGCAATTTCGAAGCTCCATCGAAGCTCTAGATCGAACCAATTTCGAAGCTCCGTTGAAGATTCATTGATTTCCAGCGAAGATTCAGATATTCGAAGCTCCATCGAAGCTCCAGATCGAACCGATTTCGAAGCTCCGTTGAAGATTCAGTGATTTCCATCGAAGATTCAGATATTCGAAGCTCCATCGAAGCAATTTCGAAGCTCCATCGAAGCTCCAGATCGAACCAATTTCGAAGCTCCATCGAAGCTCCAGATCTGAACACTGACCCCTCGATTACTCGCATTTCAAGCTTAAATCGGTACTCTCTCTCTCTCTCTCTCTCTCTCTCTCTCTCTCTACATGAAGCTAATATAAACATGATGGAAAATTTAGAGTTATATTTTATGCCTCTGTTTCTGTGTGCTGCTCTGTTCTGCTGTATATGTGCCTCTGTATCTATGTGCATAGTGAAAATAATGAAAAGGAACCATTATCTGGAACTGTTCCTGCGAGACGGTTGTTTGATAGATCCCTGCATAACAATGCAATACAAGAACATCACATGTGAGAGAAAGGGGAAAGGGGGGGGGAAGTTCCACATAAAAAAATAATGAGACAACTTGGTACTCACAATACTTGCAGTGATGAGATATTAGTCAATGACATATGAACTTTGATCTTCGATTCATGAATTTTGGGAATTAAATTTGGGAGAGTAGCATGGTTTCTTTATTAAATATTCATGCCCCTTGAGAAGGGAACATTTGTCTAGTTCCCTGCATGGTTCATTTCTTTCAACTAAAGGGATCTCTCCAATTGCTGGAATTAGTCTGGAGGTACCAAATAAATGTATTTCAAGCTGAATCATGAAATAATATTTCATACATGAACTAATTTTTAAGCATGGAAATTGTATCATGTATGGATATCCACCAATATAAGCATGTTCTCCCCTAGTAAATATAGTCATCTTCCCCCACAAAACTTGACTTTGACAGTGGCAGAGGCTAGTGATATCATCTGTACGAGGGATTTTGATTTGTGATGCAGATTTTCTTTTATATGATTGTGCAACTTGTTTTCTAAATCTTATATTTGAAACATGCCAAAGTTACATTTGAAGTAATAGTGGGCTAATAAAAGCTTCAATTTCTACCGCATAGGTTTTGAAGTACACAGAAGGCCTGTGTTGGGTTATGCACTATTACTATGAAGGAGTTTGTTCCAGGCAGTGGTAATTTTTTCTTCTTTACTTTGGACAATATTCATATTCTTGAATGCATTTCTGTGTGTGTGTTTATGTCTATCAATGTATCTGTCTATCCCTGTGGATTCATGAAGAGAATACTAGTATATTTAGCCTTGTCCATGTAATACATCTATATATAATATATATATATTCACAAATTATATTAAACATTTATAATTAAGGCATGTATGGTGGCACTTGTTTAAAGGATGTGTTATGTGTAGACACATCTAATTGAGAATATGTGTTTTGCACAGAGCTCAAATTATTGCACATGGCTCTCAATTGTTAATTTAAATGGTAATCTTCACACAATGGGGTGTCTATACCCATGAATTTAAAATAGATACCTTTCAGTATTCGTATGTTCTATTCGACAGCACGAATAAGTTTTTAAGCATTTTTTGTGTTCTATGATCCAAGTCTCATGATTCATCGGCTGGTCTATATATGCGAGTTTGTTCTGCTTGAAAAACAACTAATTTATAACATTGGAAGGTAGATAAAAAATGCACTAAGAGATTGAATGCTCTTGATGGTGGTGGTGGTGGTGGTGGTGGTGATGGAAATTTAGTGATGATGCTTTCATGTGCTCTTAGTATTTGTAAAATAGTGTTGGTGGAGAAGCAATATAACTGGGTAAGTACTTTCAGTAGAAACAGTACTTGTGTCATATGTTCAATAAAACTACCAATTTATGGGTGTCATGATTGCATTAGAATTCCAATCTACAAAGATACATAGTTCTATTGATCAGACTTACCAACCTTAATTAACTACTTCATGGCAGTTGCTTTGCATTTGGTGGAACCCAAGTTGAAGTTGGAAGTTGGAAGTTGGAACAACTAAAAATGAGAATATAACATAACATTGAGACAGTACGAGAAAAAAATGCAAAAATTGAGTAAACAAATCATTCATGCATTTTCAGCAGCAAAAACTTTTCCTTATGTCTTGGATGGTTTGCGTTCCGGAAACAATCGAACCCGGATTGAGTGTGTGGATCTTGTTGGATTCTTAATTGATAACCATGGAGCAGAGGTAAAATATGGAATGCTATTTGATCTTTTTTCTTCTTTGAAAGGTACTGAGTCTTCTATAATTTGCCTACAGATTGTGGGACAGTTGAAATCCTTGCACTTGTTGCAAGCCTAACAGCAGAACGAGATGGTGAAATTCGGAAGGCTCTTTAAATACTCTAGCTACAGGTTATAAGATCTTTGGTGAGTTCTGCTCTTATCAAGCTGTAGACTTTATTTGGTATTTGGTTTCTTGGAATACACAAGGGCTTGAAGTTTTGTCAGGCCCGAGACATGGACCAAAGGAATGAAGGAAAACCTGGAGAAGCAAGGGCTGTTTTTAGGCGTTCTGTTAGGGAAAATGGGTGTCTCTCTAAATTTTATACTAAACACCTTCTGTATTAATTTTACAACTTTGAAAATGAAAGATGATATAGTATATTATGGATAATGATTTATAAGTGATAGGGTTTATATAGATATATAGACATATATATAAGAGATAAGAAATAAAAATGAAGGTTCACGGTAATTTAGTCTTATTTTAGAATTAAATAAGACAAGTTTGATCTTAGTGCTTTTCCAATATCAATAGTTATATTTTGCTGGGACCAATAACAATATATTTCCTAATTTAGTTGCTTTTTTTATTCTTAGATGATTGATTGAAGTAATTAATTGAAACATTAAACTGTAGACCCTAGAATTCAGCAATTCAAACAACGTCATGGTCAGCGGGTTAACATCGCTGAATATTATGCTAAGAAATTATGTTTGTTTTTTATTTCAGAATCAGTTTTCTGGAAAATTTTCAAAAAAACTAAAATCTAATTTGGTGAAACAAATGAACAAATAGTGCATTAGTTCTGCTCTTAGAAAGTTCTGCTCTTAGAAATGCATCAGTTCTGCTCTTAGAAAGTTCAAGTTTGATTTTAGTGCTTCTCCAATATCAATAGTTAAAGTATGCTAAGAAATTATGTTTGTTTTTTATTTCAGAATCAGTTTTCTGGAAAATTTTCAAAATAACTAAAATCTAATTTGGTGAAACAAATGAACAAATACAAAAACTCATCATTCTTGTGATTTTATCTTTTTTGTGGTAGGAAATATTTTTTAAAATTTTGGAAATATGTTTTTGGTGGTTATTTTTTGCCAAAACTAATTTTCATTTTTTCAAAAAGAATTCTGAAAACAAATTCTGAAAATCAAACCAAACAAAAGTGTTCTTGATCATTATTGCCAAGATTAATGTATTTGTAACCTTGTTGCAGTGTGTCTGTTGAGAAATTTCCTAAAAACCGAATGCTCGGTGAGCGCGAGATTGTTAATGGGAAGGTGCATTGTCCTATAATCCTCTGCTATTGTTTCACTCGTGTTTCTCTTCTTTTTGTGTTGTATGTATACATATGCTTATGTGAATGTAATTTTAGTTTTCCAATTCTCTACAGGCTGGTAAATATGTGTGGTTAACTTATGAAGAAGTTATATGAAATAGTATTGAAGGTTGGAGCTTCCATCCGTGGTTGTGGTATCAAGCAAGTAAGTTTATTTTGCTGTGTCGCAATTCAGAAGTTACATTAGCTAGTGCAAGCAATTATAGATGCTAGCTCTTGTAATTGAGGCTAAATTTGAGCTTCGCCATACCATGGCGCAATTTCATTCCAACTAATTCTTCATTGGTTTAAATTGATACTTTCCTTCAAAGTTTCATGCTAACTCTACCGTCTAATTACTTATAAGGGGTGCAAGATGTGGAATCTACGGTGCCAACTGCATGAAATGGATCATAAGTATGCAGGTAAAGTACCAATACACCTACCAAAGAGTTGGTTTTTGTTCCAAATACAGTGTTGTGACCTATTACATTTTTCTTCTTCTGTCTCCCTCTTTATCTGTGTGGAAGTGCTAGGTTATGTATTTCTGTAACAGTAGAGTTCTGGATGAGTGAAACTAGAAAATGATTGTTTTGAGTTTTGAACTCTAAATTCAAGTAGCCCATTCATGATATGTATATAAAAGCATATTTTGTGATATCTTTCATAGTGTAGGGAGAATTTTATCATTTAGATATGAATGAAGTTTGATACTTAGCTGATATATTAATTTGGTATTTTAGCAGTCTAATAGTTTTTTACATTTCTGCAGGCCTTCAATGCCCATGGACTATACTGTGTTCCCTTATATGACAGTCTAGGTACGCTGTTTCCATGCTTCTTGTGTGAATTTGAATTTGAATAATAAGGGATTAACTGGTCATTATAGAATGAATGTGTTTTACACGTCATGTGGCTTATAAATGGTGTTAGTGATCTTATTTTTATCTAATCATGGTTATTTTGATATTGAGAGGGTAATTTTTGTGAAAATTGGGCCGAGCTATGAGATGGTCATTATGTCCCAAAGTACGAAGGGCTAGGTAAAAAGGCCGTAAAGTTACTTCGGCCCAAGAGAGGTAAAAAATTACTCCGGTCCGAGAGAAATGTAAAGTTACTCCGGTCCGGAAGCGACTTGGAGTTAGGCCGGTCTCAGAGTTAGTCCGGTCATGGCGTATTGTGGTTAGAACGGACAGAACCTTGCTACTCGGTAGCTCGGTCTAAGCACACCATGGTTTGTACATGAGAGCACCGAGATAAGGAGTAAAAGGAAGAACCGAACTAAGGATAGTTCGGCCTACTCTGTGGCTCAGCATAGCCATGATTACTTCGGTCATGTAGGAGTTCGGCCATGGTAAAAACCATCTCACTTGGTTTAAGCAGTGAGGGGGGTGTTGAAGGATAAGCATTATCTTTTAGGAGTATGAATCCTATGAGGACTCTACATGGAGGAGTAGAAGTCCTACTAGGATTATGCCACGCGAAACCTATAAAAGCTCACAAATATCACCTTTGGAGAGGTAACACACAACTTTGCTTCCTGAATACACAGAGCTTTTTGTCTATTTGTCAAGCTTACTGACTTAGGCATTGGAGAGGTTTCCGGCACACACCCGCCGGCTAGCTCACGTTTGTATTTTCAGGTGATAAAGCGACAACGTACAGAGGAGCGCAGACTTGATCAACAGGATTATACGAGAAGGTTTATTTCTTTCCCGTACACTTGTCCAACATGGAAAAAATTAAACAAAGGCCAAAAGGATTGTGTTTTGCTGCATAGACATGGTGTATAATTTTTATTCTAAAAACATAATTATCTCTGCTGAAACTGTAATTTGTCCATTGATGAAGATCAAAGATGGCATTGAAATGGGTTTAGTACATGTTGGGTCATTCTGTTATTTTGCTACGTTTCTAGGTGCTGGTGCAGTGGAATATATCATTTGTCATGCTGAGATTTCACTTACCTTTGCAGAATTTTAAGATTCTCATATATTTTCACTTTGTTTACACACCTGGTGGCAACTAAGTCCCAAACTCTTTTTTGTTTTATAAAGTGTCTATTTACTTCAATGCCCTTCTTGACACATGATTTTCAAGGAAAAGAAAAATTCATTTATGCCCTTCTTGTTTGTTTCTGAATGCTATATTTATTTCATGCATTTCAATAGGAAATCTCTAAAGCATTTGGGAGGTTTACTAATGCTGCGCAAGAAGCTCTGTATCGGCTATTTATTCAGGTATGTATTTTGTTTCTTGACTTTTATTGCGTTTTTGATATTTTTTGAGTCGTTTCAGATGTTTAATTCAATGCTTTATGTTATCATCTTGTCAATGTTATAGGTTTTGTTGGTGAGCTGCATCCTGACAAGAACAGTGATAACAAGAAGCATGTGCTTTACACACAAAAAAACATTATTGTAAAATACAAGGATCAGGTCCTTTGCTTATGAATCATTTGATTTTTTGGTTAAGAATTGTAAATTCAATTTTTGAATATGTTATTTTGTGAGTAATGTTAAAACATCATTTGTGGATATGTTATTTTATGGGTAATGATGATTGGATATTAAACTGAATGGGAAAGTGAATTAATGTTACATTTACTATTTGAATGGAAGTTATTATTTCATATTAGTGCTATTCAATTTCATTAAAGGTATTTTTTTAATTCAATCACATAAAATTAGTACAATTTTTATAATTTAAAAAAAAAAAAAAAGAGGATATCACGGCGTTTTGAGAAATGCCACCTAAACTCTAAAGCTAACGGTCAGTTTTTTAAAAAAGATAAGACGGTGTTTTGAAAACGTCGCTAAATCATAGCGATGTCATAATGCTGATAGTGTAGGACATTTTAAAAACGCCACCTATACTAAATATAGCGACGCTTTTAAAGCGTCATAAAGCTATGGCGACGGCCGCATCTTCGACGTTTGGTACTAAACGCCACAAAAACAATTAGCGGCGTTTTTGATAACTATAGCGGCGTTTTTAAAACGCCACTAAAAGCCTAATTTCTAGCAGTGTCATTCATATCCAAATCTTCTGGCTTCATCTCCCCTGGAAGCTCCCAATCGAAGTGGTAGAGAAGTAGAGCTAGAGGCAGCTCAACATTTACCGATCCAAACAACATCCCCGGACATATCCTCCTCCCGGCCCCAAACAGAATAAACTCAAAGTTATTTCCTATAAAATAGAATTGTAAGAAGAATAATAGAGAGAATCAAACTAATTTTAATACGGTTTGTTTCTCAAACCGATGGAACTGAACCAATAATGCTATCTGTTTTTTTGTTTTTAAATTTTTTAGCACAAATATCAACATAAATAATATATTTAAATATTTTTATTTTTTTAAATATTAGAAAATAAATTATAAATGCTATACGTTTTAAATTAATGATTAGGATGAAAACATCTATGAAGCATCCTTTCTATCTCTTTTAATTTATTCTAATGGAGGATTATATAGATTTTTATAAAGGGACATACTCATTATTCCAGTTTCAAATCTAAACTAGAAAGTGTTGTTCGGACCCATAAAGTTCACCACAACAGGTTCCGTTTTAATGATTTGTAAGACTCTTCGTGTCACATCATTTTAAAAAAAATAATAATAATAAAATTAAGTATGATTTAGGAAGGTGTTGTGTTGGGCTTATATGGGCCCGTAATGGGACCTTGATATTCTAAATCATTCAATTTCTATATCTATCTAAGCATATTATGTATGCAAAAAATAGATCGCCAATTATTTTGAAAACAAATGTAATTAATCATATAATTACAGTTATCTAATAAACTTTAGATTTTTCAAAGATGAATTGTTTGGAAGGCTCTAAAAATAAATAATTCAAAATATCATTATTATTGTAGACTTTATGGTGGGCCCACAAAAGCTCAATAATCACCAACTAGAGAAAAATCTGCATTACTATTTTATTGAACTCTTAAAACTTCATATTAGTAATGGTTAAAATCGAACCGTAACGTGCAGTTTCAATTTCTCATCTAATAATAATAAAATAAAATAAAAAGAGTGTGCTTTTTTTTTAAGTTGAGAGTATTTGGATTTGGTAGGTCTATTTTGATATCTATTTTGATGATCTGAATAGTTCACTTTTTAAGATTAGTTGAATAAAATATTTAAGTAAAAAATCAAAATAATTAAAAATCAGTAATTATATGTTTGAATCATGTTTATTTTTTTAAAAAAACAAATAAAAAATATAATATCAAGAATAACAACCTACCTACAAAATCAATGGAACTGTGTTGGAATCTCTCTGGCATGAAGCTCTGAGCATCATCCCAATGGTTGGGGTCTCTTCCGAATGGCCCAAGCATTGACAAGGACTTGGGTATTGGCGGGTATGTTGTATCCATCAATATTGCAAGGCTCTCTGCTTTCTCTTGGGAGCAACAATGGTGCTGGAGGGTGAAGCCTTACGCTGTGTTTGGTTGGGGGATTTGGAGAGAGATTTGGAAAAGAAAATGGAAAAGGTATGTGAAACTAAGTGAAATATAAACATGTTTTATTCACATTCCACATACCTGTTTTATTTTTCTTTCCAAATCCCTCCTCAAATCCCTTAACCAAACACAGTATTAGGGTTTCTTTGATCACCATTTTAAGGTAATTTAGTTTTTGAATGTGAGTCTCATGGGGGAATCTTCGCTTTTCATTGAGCTTTAAGAGTGATTGTCTCAACTCTGCTTGTGCTTTCTTCATTACAGTTGGGTTTTTCATCAGCTCTGCCATTGCCCATTCGACCGTTGTGGATGAAGTTTCAGTTGAACCAGTGAACATGTCCTGCATATTCAATTCAACACACGTATGGGGCTACCTTGTTGGGTTCACAAAATACACTAATGATCTTCAATGTATGTACTGTTCCAATGTCATTTTTGGTTATCAGAGTTCCAATTTTTATAATTTAATCCTTATACAATGTTATATAGGCCCGTTTGGTAAAGCTGTGGAAAAGTGATTATAGCTTGTACTTTAACAGCTTATAACTTATAACTGTGAATATAAGCTGGTTTTTGACTTATAAATTAAGCTTCTCCCCCCCTACTCAAAGAATAAGTTGATTTTTGACTTACAAAATGCTATAAGATGTATTGTTAAACTGAACCAAACACATCAAAATAGCTTAAATTAAGCTAAAAGCTGAAATAAGTTAGAAATAAGCCCTACCAAACAGGGCCATAGAAAATAAAAACATGGGATGATGGAGCAGGGAAATTTGACAAACTATAATATAGAGAAGAAAAGCACATATGGTGTAAATTAATTGTTAGGAAATATGAATACGGATATGATATGATGCGGATATGATGATATGACAAAATCTAGGAAAATAGGATATGGATACGACTAGGTTACGTTTGTAAAAAAAATATTTTTGAAAATATTAACTTAGTAGTTAGTTATGAGCTCAAAAATGTTGTGAAACTATACTATAATTTTATAATGCAAAATAATAATTGTTAAGAAATAGGTAATAATTTAAGTTGGTAGCTAGTTTACTTCTTTTACTTTTTAATTGGTCTTATAAATATTTCATTTTAATATCAAGTTTAATATGTTTATATTACAATAACAGAAAAACGATATTTAATTTAATTAATTCTTACTTTCTATGTAGTTATGAAAATAAGTCAATTTGACAAATTATACTCTAATTAACTATATTCTTCTTATCAAAGAACTAAGTAAAGTATTGAAAAAAAAGTTATTGTTTTTATCCTCATATATAATTATATTATATTATAATACTATGCAAGAAATACTACAATTCTAATTTTGTGACTTGGAGTATTCGATATTTTAAAATTAACGAAAAATTAATTAAGAAGTATCCGATACTTTTAGTAAGTATCTGATACGTATATTCTGTCCTTTTAAAAGTATTCATACTTCATAGATTATACTCTCTGATTAGATCATGTTGTTGCATTTTCTCTCCGTCAAATTCCATTCATGTGGGGGATTGTTGGAAAAATGGTTTAATATAGGCGTATTTTTTTAAGCTCAATTTGAGTGGGTCACAAACGTCTTTTGGGGTGGGACCGAAGAGGTGAAGTGTTCTTTGTCACGTGGCAAGTCACATGGTGAAGACGGAACGTCAAAACCATTTATGAGTGAATGGGAAGTTAACGTCGTTTTCGGGTCTAACATTAATTTTTATTTAGATAAAATTCATTTGAATTTTTTCAATAAAAATTATTGTGAGAATTTAATTTAATTCTAAATTTAAATTTGGGGTTCCTAAGTGGTTTCCTAAAATTTGCAATTATGGAAATTTAATTTAATTCTAAATTCGAATTTTGATTTCCTATAAATTGTACCTCTTCCTTTATTTATTAAACTATTTATATATATATTTAAATAGTTTAATTAATAGAGTTCTACAAGTTTGGGATTTGTTCCATCAGACCCTTTTCAAATTGTTTGGAAGAATAAAACCGTTGTTGGTCAATGGTCAGATTATTTGAAATTCAACAGTTGCATTTGTTCTTTCAAATTAGGAACCTGTTCGGACCTCAATTTTTGCCTATAAATAGAGCCATATTTCAGCAGTTCGAAGGATGAAAAATTCAGTCTGATTGTGGTCTTTTTGCTGTCCTAAATTCTGCATTTTTTCATTATTCTTCATATTAGTTTTAGTATAAATTTCAAAGGGTTAGAACACAGGTTTGGTTCGCCAAACAAATTGTTTGGAGTACTACTACAATTTGTGAAGATCATTGTATCCTGGGAGATAGACGCCACTCAACCGTAAGTACCATAGCGGGGCGAATCTGTCTTAAGGACAGAGTGTCACACACTCGACTTGGTCTTTTAATTTTTGTTTGGTTCAACAAAATAATTTCTGTAAGTGTTATTTTATTTTGTTTGAATTATTCTGTTTACAGAATTTTTCGTTTGTTTCTTTTTTCTTTCTTCGTAAAATAATTTCGGAA